CACACACATATTCACACACACACATATTCACACACACACACATATTCACACACACACATATTCACACACACACATATTCACACACACACAATATTCACACACACACATATTCACACACACATATTCACACACACACATATTCACACACACACATATTCACACACACACATATTCACACACACACACACACACACACACACACACACACACACACACACACACACGTGCACACACACACACACACACACACACACACACACACACACACACACACACACACAAAACACACACACACACACACACACACACACACACACACACACACACATACAGCCTCCCTCACAACTTCCTATAGAAGCCTCCCAACCAGGTCAACCCCAGTGCAACCAAACACTCTAAACAAAAACACCCATGCCACATCCAATGCCCCCACCCACTGCATTACAAATTCCACCCCCACAGCAACCACCCATAGTTCCTTATCAGGTCTCCCACTTCTCCAACCCCAATACACCTCCCAGACCACAATCTTAGAAAAGAAGTTGAAGGTGTGGTATACAAATGCAGATGGAATAACAAATAAGTATGAGGAGTGGCACGAAAGAATCAAGGAGACATCCCCAGACATAATAGCACTCACAGAAACAAAACTCACCAGAATAATAACAGATTCAATCTTTCCACCCGGATATCAAATCCTCAGGAAAGACAAGAGGGAGGAGAGGGGGAGGAGGAGTTGCACTGCTCATTAAAAACCAGTGGGGGTTTGAGAAAATGGAAGGAATGGATGGCACGGGCGAAAGGGACTACTTAGTAGGAACAGTCCAGTCTGAGGGACATAAGGTGATAATTGCAGTAATGTACAACCCACCACAGAACTGCAGGAGGCCAAGAGAAGAATACGATGAGAGCAACAGAGCAATGGTCGACACACTAGCCGAGGTGGCCAGGAGAGCACACATGGGGGGAGCAAAGTTACTAGTTATGGGTGATTTCAATCACAAGGAGATTGACTGGAAAACCTGGAGCCCCATGGGGGTCCGAAACATGGAGAGCCAAGATGATGGATGTGGTACTGGAAAACCTCATGCATCAACATGTTAAGAGACACTACCAGAGAGAGAGGAGAGGATGAACCAGCAAGACTGGACCTTGTATTCACCTTGAGTATTTCTGACATCGAGGATATCATGTATGAAAGGACCCTGGGAGCTAGTGATCATGTGGTTCTGTGCTTCGACTACATATTTGAGCTCCAAGTGGAGAGAGCAGCAGGAATAGGGTGGGAAAAACCAAACTACAAAAGGGGGAACTACTCAGGCTTGAGGAACTTCTTTCAAGACATTCAGTGGGAGAGGGAACTGACAGGAAAACCAGTACAAGAAATGATGGATTATGTGGCAACAAAATGCAAGGAGGCAGAGGAGAGGTTTGTTCCTAAGGGAAACAGAAATAATGGGAAGAACAGAACGAGTCCTTGGTTCACCCAAAGGTGTAGGGAGGCAAAAACTAGGTGTACTAGAGAATGGAAAAGGTACAGAAGACAGAGAACTCAGGAAAATAAAGAGATTAGCCGAAGAGTCAGAAACGAATATGCACAGATGAGAAGGGAGGCTCAGCGGCAATACGAAAATGACATAGCATCGAAAGTCAAGACTGACCCGAAGCTGTTGTACAGCCACATCAGGAGGAAAACAACAGTCAAGGACCAGGTAATCAGACTGAGGAAGGGTGATGGGGAATTCACAAGAAATGACCGGGAGGTATGATGTCAGGAGCTCAACACAAGATTTAAAGAAGTATTTACAGTGGAAACCAGTAGGACTCCAGGAAACCAGAGCAGGGGGGTGCACCAGCAAGTGCTGGATGAGGTACATATAACCAAGGAGGAGGTAAAGAAGCTGCTATGCGAACTTGACACCTCAAAGGCGGTGGGACCAGACAACATCTCTCCGTGGGTTCTTAAAGAGGGAGCAGAGATATTGTGTGTACCGTTAACAAAGATCTTCAACACATCATTTGAAACTGGGCAACTCCCTGAGGTATGGAAGATGGCAAATGTAGTCCCAGATTTTTAAAAAGGGAGACAGACCTGTATCACTAATGTGTATAGTATGCAAGGTCATGGAGAAGATCATCAGGAGGAGAGTGGTGGAGCACCTGGAAAGAAACAAGTGTATAATTGACAACCAGCATGGTTTCAGGGAGGGAAAATCCTGTGTCACAAACCTATTAGAGTTTTATGACAAGGTGACAGAAGTAAGACAAGAGAGAGAGGGGTGGATCGACTGCATTTTTTGGACTGCAAGAAGGCCTTCGACACAGTTCCTCACAAGAGGTTACTACAAAAGCTAGAGGATCAGGCACACATAACAGGAAAGGCACTGCAATGGATCAGAGAATACCTGACAGGGAGGCAACAACGAGTCATGGTACGTGACGAGGTGTCAGAGTGGGCGCCTGTGACAAGCGGGGTTCCACAGGGGTCAGTCCTAGGACCTGTGCTGTTCTTGGTATATGTGAATGACATAACGGAAGGGATAGACTCAGAAGTGTCCTTGTTTGCGGACGATGTGAAGTTAATGAGAAGAATCAAATCGGATGAGGATCAGGCAGGACTACAAAGAGACCTGGACAGACTACAAGCCTGGTCCAGCAACTGGCTCCTTGAGTTTAACCCTGCCAAATGCAAAGTCATGAAGATTGGGGAAGGGCAAAGAAGACCGCAGACACAATATAGTTTAGACGGCCAAAGTCTGCAAACCTCACTGAAGGAAAAAGATCTGGGGGTGAGTATAACACCAAGCATATCTCCCGAGGCGCACATCAATCAGATAACTGCTGCAGCATACGGGCACCTGGCAAACCTACGGATAGCGTTCCGATACCTCAGTAAGGATTCGTTCAAGACTCTGTATGCCATTTACGTCAGGCCCATACTGGAGTATGCAGCACCAGTTTGGAATCCACACCTAGTCAAGCACGTCAAGAAATTAGAGAAAGTGCAAAGGTTTGCAACAAGACTAGTCCCAGAGCTGCGGGGATTGTCCTACGAAGAAAGATTGAGGGAAATCGGCCTGACGACACTGGAGGCAAGGAGGGTCAGGGGAGACATGATAACGACATATAAAATACTGCGCGGAATAGACGAGGTGGACAAAGACGGGATGTTCCAGAGATGGGACATAGACACAAGAGGTCACAATTGGAAGTTGAAGACTCAGATGAATCAAAGGGATGTTAGGAAGTATTTCTTCAGTCATAGAGTAGTCAAGCCGTGGAATAGCCTAGAAAGTGAAGTAGTGGAGGCGGGAACCATACATAGTTTTAAGGCGAGGTATGATAAAGCTCATGGAGCAGGGAGAGAGAGGACCTAGTAGCAATCAGTGAAGAGGCAGGGCCAGGAGCTGTGACTCGACCCCTGCAACCACAAATAGGTGAGTACAAATAGGTGAGTACATACCTACATATAGGTTACTAAATATGCTTCTCATATAAGTTCTTTCCTAATATGTGTAGATTTGAATTGCTGTGTGGGTGGAGTTGAGGAAAGACAGCTTGAGAATAAGTAATGTTGATTGTGTTTTACCTCAGGTTGCCCTACCTCATGGAAAATGGCCAAGGGTGGTATAAAAAAATTGTTACTTTAGTTAGTCTAATAGTTGTCCTTTCTAATATTTTCTGTGACTTTCAGGAGGAGGCCGGCAAGCTGTTAATGAAGATTTTACCAGTGATACAAAGCTTCAGCATTGATGATGTTGTTGGCAAGAGTCACCGGCAGCCTCTTGACGTAAAAGATTTCTCTATCTGGTTGTTGTTAGTTCTGAATGACTTGAGAGTTCAGACAGGGGCAGGCATAGGGGACTTGGCAGAATGGCTAATTAGACTGATGCCCACGGAAATGTATAATAAGGGATTGCGCCCTTGCCAGAGTAATTTGGCCACGTTTATTTTGAGCGTAACAAAATCTTCAAATGTATTTACTGAAGACAGACTGAATTCTGTAATTCCACCAGGGGTATTTATTTTGGATACCAAAACTCAAGATGAAATTAACGTTGGCATAACAACAGAAAAAGATATGCAACAGCATAACAAAGATGATGCATCAGACAGGATGGAGAATGATTCGAGTGATAGGGCTGAAGCAAGCTGGGAGGAATATTTGACATCGGTAAACATTGATGAATTAATGAAAGGTAAAGCTAAACCCTTATCTGTAAAACAGTTTAATAATGGTGTTCTCTATGCACTGTGGAGGGTTTCACGGATGCTGGGAGAAGACGATCGTGCTGTTGTAGACTGGCTGGGGCAATTATCGCCATATCCTATGCAGAAAGAAGAGCTTGAAAAAGTTGTAACTTCTGCAGGCCCACTGCACAATCACTTAGAAAAACATCCTGAAGATATGTATAAATTGAAGGAAATTAACAGTTTAGGAAAGCCTGGGCCAGAAAAAAATAGTCTCAAGAGGAGATGTTGGTCATGGAAACGACCTCTTACTCTGTCAGACAATACAGTGACTGTAAATAGAAAGAAAAACCTCTCTCAAAATCAAGCTCTTACAACTTCTGTAAGTTTTTCATCTGAACAGGGGTACAATGAGGAGAGCACCACTGATATAACTGGAGCAGTGTCAGAGAACTCTTCACTTTGTGCCAGTAGTGATGAAAGTACCTCTCTCAAAGTTACAAAGGCGCTGGACAGCCTTCTACACTTGCCTAAAGTATCTAAAAATAGTGAATTTGAAACCAACTGTAATGAAGATATAGAAAATCGCATAGAGAAAAAGTGTGGCCAGGTGAAAAGGGAGGAAGCAATTGTGACTTATGGTCGTGATTTTGAAGATAAGCTGCATAATAGAAGCAGAAGGCAGATGTTTAAAAGGAAACGACTTACCCGGAGTGTTGATAACGTTAAATCACAATATAAGAAAATTATTACAATGAAAAATGAAGAGCAAAAACAATTGCAAGCAAAACTGAGCCAGCAGGTTGATTTAAACGTTAACAACCCAGTTATTGATGATAACATGAAAAATGAATCTCACCAGATATCAAACATGTTAGTCATTAAGATGCAGGAGCTGGAAAGAGAACTTGATGAGATGAAGAAACGTAACCAAGAATTAATTGAAGATAATCGGATGTTAGTGTCCGTCTGTCTTGATAACAGACAGGATGCAATGTTGAATCAGTCAGAGTCGACTAGCAGAGATAAAAACACAGTTGATTTGCTTGCAGCCTCACACATGAGTAAAATAAGCTCCACTCCTCATACATCTTCAGAAGCGACTCCATCTTCTTCAGGTTTGACTACATGTAACTCTTCTGAGAAGCATCCCCACCAAAAATTTATATACAAGAAAAAGGGGAATATGTTTAAAAAGAAGTGTGTAAACAGACTTGAAAATAAAATTAAACTAAGAAGACAACGAGATAAAGCACATTTGCTTAAGACTCGAGCCAACATAACATCTGCATGCAAAGATTTAGAAAATAAATTATTAAAAGAAAGGATTTCACCTTCACTTGCAGATAAGAGCACTAGAAATGAGAAAATTACCTCATCTTCAGATGAAGAGAAAGAGAGTAGACAAGATGAGGAAACTGTTGCATGTACAAATAAAGAGGATACGAGGAAAGGAAGTGAGAAAATTATCTCATCTTCAGATGTAGAGGAAAAGAGCAAAGGAAATGAGAAAATTGCTTTATCTCCAAATAAAGAGACAAAGAGTAGAGGGGATGAGGAAACTGTTGTACATGCAGATAAAGAGGATAAGAAAGGAAATGAGAAAATTATTTCATCTTCAGATGAAGAGGAAAAGAGTAAAGGAAATGAGAAAATTGTCACATCCACAAATAAAGAAGATAGGAGTAAAGAAAATGAGAAAATAGTTACACCTGTAAATAAAGAGGATAAGAATAAAGACGAGAAAACAGTTGCATCTGTAAATAAAGACCACAGTAAAGGAGATGAGGTACTACTTGTTGCATCTGTAAATAAAGATCACAGTAAAGGAGATGAGGTACTGGTTGCATCTGTAAATAAAGATGGTAAGAATAAAGGAAGCAGTAAAGATGAGAAAATGGTTGCATCTGTAAATAAAGAGGATAAGGGGAATGAGAAAATCATAGCATCTGTAAATAAAAATGATAAGGTTAAAGGAAATGAGAAAATGGTCAAAGATTTGAATAAAGAGGATAAGAGTAAAGGAAATGGGGTAGCTTTAACCACAAATAAAGAGAAGAGTAAAGGAAATGAGAAAACTGCCTCATCCACAAATAAAGAGGAAAAGAGTAAAGGAAATGAGAATATAGTTTTAACCACAAATAGAGAGAAGCGTAAAGAAAGTGAGAAAGCTGCCTCAGACACAGATAAAGAGGAAAAGAGTAAAGGAAATGAGAATATAGCTTTAACTACAAATAAAGAGAAAAGTAAAGGTTGTGAGAAAACAGCTTTAACAACAAATAAAGAGAAGAGTAAAGATAGTGAGAGAACAGTTTTAACTACTAATAAAGAGAAGTGTAAAAGTAGAGAGAGAACAGTTTTAGCCACAAATAAAGAGGACAAGAGTGCAGGAAATGAAAGAACAGCTTCAAGCACAAGCACAGAGCCCACATATGTGTTACCAAAATCCTTACCAGATGCAACTACAAAAATGGCACCAGAGGACACTGTCAATGAGTGTCAAGATTCAGAACATGGTAAGAAAATATGCAAACACATAGCAAATGAAAAAAGCAGAAAATTGAACGAAAAGCAGCAGAAAAGCAGCAGCACCAAAAAAATTCAACCCAAGGTATTGGTATCGGAAAATAGTCCCGTGCCTTTCTTGAAAACCTTCAGCACAGACTTGGCACAGCCTGTCAACGCTCCGTCAAAAGCTGTAAGTACACACAAAGTTATGCAGAAAGTAACAAAGTCACAAACGGGATTCAAAAGTGAGGTAGGGAAAACGGAAATTTCAGCTGTAGCTCAGAGTGATAAAAATAAGGCTGTTGAGAAAGTGCGTGGATCCACTGAGAAGAAAACAAAGCCAAGGTTTGAAGATTTAATGAACTATGATGCTGGTGCATTGATTCCTCCATAATTTTTACTCATCATGTACATAATTTCCTGATTATACAATCAAGTGGAGAAAGAACCAATCTCATTTTAATTCAAGGAACTTTTGCAATATTACTAAGGGTCAGTTTTTAATTTATTTTTTATCAGTAGGAGAACAAATCACAATACCATGGCTGGAACAAATCACAAATAATCCACATTTAGTAGGAAAAACTTCAGATAATATTTCTGTGTCCAGGACCATTGTCAATTCCATGACAGTGGTGCAGAACAGACCGAAATGTCTCAGGTTTCCTCTCCTGAGTGTGGGTAATTTGTGAGCCTTTATCAGTTACCTGGAAAACAACATAGTCTTGGAATGAGTGGAGAAGAGTGGTTTTTATGGTTTGACGTACTGGCATGTACACACAGGTTCGCATACATGCATGCATGCATGCACATACTGTTACACTCACATGTACTCTCACTCACACATGCTTACTCACTCACATGCACACACACACATGTATGTACAGTGGAACCTCAAGTTTCAAACTTAATCCGTTCGAGGAGCTAGTTCTAAATTCGAAAAGTTTGAAAGGCGAAGCAATATTTCCCATAAGAAATAATGGAAATACAATTAATCTGTTCCAGAAAACCAAAAATATTCACAAAAAAATACATTTTATAGATAGTATTACATTATAGTTTTACATACACACAACAAATATAGTGTACAATTATTAATAAATTTAAATAAACATATAAAATAACATTTTTACTTACCTTTATTGAAGATTGGTGATGGCATCTGGAAGATAGGGAGGAGGAGGAGAGAAGGAGTTGGAGTTAGTGTTTGGAAGGGGAATCCCCCTCCATAAGGACTTTAGGTATCAAAGCCCTCTCTGGGGCTACTTCCCTTCTCTGTCTTTTAATGCCACTAGGACCAGCTTGAGAGTCACTGGACCCCTGTCTCACAAAAAACTTGATCCACACCAGCAACAACTTCTCGACCTGATCGATTGTCTGTGGTCTTTTTTTGGTTAGCATATTAACAACTTTTGCAACATCAGCTTCCTTGATTTGTTCTTTCTTTGCCAGGATAGAAGCGATGGTCGATTTGTTTTTCCCATACATCCTGGCAAGCTCAAGCCTTACACCACTCTCATAACTCTGTATTGTTTCCTTCACATCTATGGTGTTTCTCACTTTCTTTACCACAGGGGTACCACTAGCAAGTTTCTTTGGGCCCATGGTAACTTATTTCACAGTCCCACACGCACTAAACACAATGAATTAATCGTAAATTGGTTAAATGAGACCGCAGGTTAGTGTTAACTCGAGCATCAACAAAGCCAGACTGGCTCACGGCGCCTGCGCGGGATGTGGACAGAGTGGGCTGGCGGACAGGTCCAGTACCCGGCATTTCGAAAATAGGGGCAAGTTCAATAATAGGGACAAAGTTGGTTCGAAAAAAACGGTCGATTTTCGAAGAGTTCAATAAGCGATACGTTCGAAATTTGAGGTTCTACTGTACATATATTATAATTTTTATTACCTTATTGGCCATCTCCCACCAAGGTAGTGTCCCTAAAGCAAGGAAACAATATTCACCACATTCATTCAATCCCTGTCTTGCTAGAAATGTGCAGACATCACAGTTATGTTGTCAAGCCTCTAGTCTAAGGTGTGGGTTCCACACTGGTGGAGCATGCTCCCATATGGGCCTGATATATGCTGTATAGAGTCTGGAATGACTTTATGCTGAAATTCCTGAAAGCTATTCTTAGATTTACCAGATGAGCATTGGGTGTAGAGGTTATTCAGCTGATGTGATTCTCTAGTGATAGACCAGGTATTGTGCTCACCTATAATTCTTTCTCTTTAACCCTTTGAGGGTCGACAGGCCCTCTCTAAGACTCGTTCTCAGAGTCGGCCAAATTTAAAAAAAAAAAAAAATAACTTTCTCTTATGAAAAGATAATCTTTTCCCGATCATAATGACACCAAAAGTTTGAAATTTGATGGAAAACTTACGGAATTATGCTCTCGCAAAGTTAGCGGTCTCGGCGATGTTTACGCATCGGCGATTTTGCCCACTTTGAGCCCCATTTTCGGCCAATTCCACTGTACTAGTCGAAAAAAAACATGAATACAGTGGACCCCCGCATAACGATCACCTCCGAATGCGACCAATTATGTAAGTGTATTTATGTAAGTGTGTTTGTACGTGTATGTTTGGGGGTCTGAAATGGACTAATCTACTTCACAATATTCCTTATGGGAACAAATTCGGTCAGTACTGGCACCTGAACATACTTCTGGAGTGAAAAAATATCGTTAACCGGGGGTCCACTGTATTTCGCTAGAACTCCATTTTTTTCTAACGAATGAGTGCAAGAAACCACCCATTTATCAATTTCAACTATCCAGTACAGTGGTCAGAATTTAGCAATTTTGCCAGTTTCACACAAATTTTAAAAAATGCCAATTTCCGAATAGGGTCCAGAATAAACAAGAAAGACATTCCTGGCACTAAAATGACATTTCCTCTGTTCATTAGTCACGTCTCAAGGCCCCTCTTACATTCTTCTGCTTTCCACTTTGAATTTTTATTCTCACAAAAAATAGAAGATTTACTGTTATGCAGACTACTGCATTAGTGTAAAAAAAATGGTATAAATAATATTGGCGCACTTGCGAAAGAATGTTAGACTCACCAGTTGATGTGTATTGGACGCTTGACATGATTTGTTTACTTTTGAACTTTGGTAAAAATCGAACATATCTGCTACTTTGAGCTCAATTTCAAGGTACTTTTTATTGTAAAACCAGTCAAAATCATCTCAATTTCCATAATATGTCTTCCATTCTATAAAATGAGACCAAGAAAACTAGAATACAACAATAAATACCATACGAAAATACAGTGCAAAGTCGCTGTTTTATTCCAAAAAAATGGTCAAAGTTTTTTTTTCTCATTATGCACTGTGTGCTGCAGGATTTTTTTTTATACTGTGCACACTGAGCACATAGACCCATTCTTTCATATGTAGGCCTACCAGCTTTCTCCCACTAGATTTGAGGGCGCTAGAATTTAAGCGTACTAGTACGTCAAAAACCCTGGGTCGTAAGCTGTACTAGCTTAAGTGAGGTCTGCAGCATCTATTCACGGAATCTATACTTCATGTCTAGCCTTCATGCCCCTTTCTCAATCTTCATTACATAGTGCCAGGTGTCCGTGGTCGTTTGGTAAATCGACCACTGAATCAGGAATTTCGATAGTTATTCCAGCCCATTATACAACATACATCAGGTCCATCTTTAGTATGCTGCACCAGTATGGCAACCGCATCTGTAAAAGCATGTTAAAAACAAGAGAAAGTGCAGCGAGATGCTCAAGAATTGAGGGGTATCAGCTATGAGGAGAGCCTAATGGACTCTGATCTAATTACATCGGAGGACAGTAGAAGCAGGGGAGACAAAATGTAAAATATTCAGTGAAATTGATAGGGTAAACAGGGACAGGCTGTTTGAGAGGCAAGAAACAGGCACTCGGGAACACATTTGGGAGCTTAATGTACATGAGCCACAGAGATGTCAGAAAGCATTTCTTCGGCTTCAGGGTGGTCAGGAAGTGGAATGATCTTGGTGAAAAAATGGTGAAGACCAGCTCTATACATAGTTTTAAGATCAGGTACAATAGGGCTCAGGAGGCTAGGAGTGAATCTGGTAGGTAGCAGGTCGAGAAGAAGGGTCAGGATCTGAAGATTGACTCCCTGCATCCACAAATAGGTGAGCACAAATAAACAGGCACACTTCTTTTTCAGTAAGAATTAATAAAATACTGTAAGTCAATTGTCATCTAGTGAAGTTTGTATGGATTCCAGTCCCATTCTAATGGAAGGTATTATTACAAGTGTACTTGTCATGTGGAGCCTAAGGACTTTTTATCAGTAAGGTCTGCAGGATGATTTCTCATCTAGTAAGGTTTACAGGGTTTCTCCTTATGACAGTCAGGATGAGTATTGCACATTGTACATGTGTGATGCAGCCAGTGCACAATAATTGAATGGTATTCTTGTATGATGAGATAATTTTACAGTATAATGAAGAGCTAGTAATTAATTCCATTTTGTTCTCTGCAGCTCTTTATGTAGCATGCGACACATACTCTCTATCATATTTCAGAATAATACCTGAGGAGGTAAGTGGATTTTCCACATTAGTATCATCTAGAGAGTTACAGCACAAACCTCTTATAATCAGTATGTAGCCACATTTGAACATGCTTCTAAACATTCATGTCTTGTACAAAGTATTTGATGATTGTGGCATTCTTCATGGGTCCAGCCACATGATGTGAGATACTGCATTACAGCTCAGTCACATCCTGGGATAGGAGGCTTAGAAGATATCTGCTAACATTTAGTTTAGTTAGAATAATGTTTCAGAATGTAGCCGTATGACCTCTCTATCACAGGTGATATTGTGTGCTTCCACTCCACATTGCTGCTTTGATTCTACATCATATTGGATATCACATTGGAGGGAGGGAGTATGGAAGAAGTGAGTGTTTTCAGATATCTGGGAGTTGACTTGTCAGCTGATGGGTTTATGAAGGATGAGGTTAACCATAGAATTGATGAAGGAAAAAACGTGAGTGGTTTGTTAAGGTATCTGTGGAAACAAAAAACATTATCCATGAAGGCAAAGAAGGGAATGTACGAGAGTATAGTGGTACCAACACTATGGGTTGTAAATGCTGCAGCGTGGAGGCAGCTGGAGGCAGGGGAGATGTCGTGTCTAAGACCAATGTGCGGTGTAAATAGTGTGCAGAGAATTCGTAGTGTGGAAATTAGGGGGAGGTGTGGAGTTACTAAAAGTATTAGTTGAGGGGTTGTTGTGGTAGTTTGGTCATTTAGAGAGAATGAAACAGAGTAGAATGACTTGAAGAGTGTATAAATCTGTAGAGGAAGGCAGGCGGGGTAGGGGTTGTCCTCGAAAAGGTTGAAGGGAGGGGGTAAAGGAGGTTTTGTGGGCAAGGGGCTTGGACTTCCAGCAAGCATGCTTGAGTGTGTTAGTGAATGGAGCAGGGTTATATTTTGTGAAGGGATTCAGGGAAACTGGTTAGCCAGACTTGAGTCCTGGAAATGGGAAGTACAATGCCTGCACTTTAAAGGAGGGGTTTGGGATATTAACAGTTTCGAGGGACTTCTAAACTGTCGTATCTGTGCGCCTCTGCAAAAAAAGTGATTATGTATGGGGTATGGTGAAAGTGTTGAATGGTGGTGAAAGTATTTTTCTTTCTTTTTGGGTTTTTCTTTCTTTTTGGGTCACCCTGCCTCGGTGGGAAACTGCCGATGTGTTAAAAAAAATATAAAACAAAAAATTCTAATTAAAATTACTTATGTGATGGGATTTGCTTTGTTGCCTCTTGGTCATAATACTTAATTATCCAAAATTGTTTTAGGTTTTACACAAGATTATAGTATTTTGTCTATTTTATTACCAAAGTATTAAAAAATGAATTGCCAAATGATAATAGTTGTAATATTTAGAAGTTTGTGCTACTGTACAAACTTTAAGTAGCCATCCATCATTATTTCCTTCTTCCTTTAGTGGAGAGATTGACCTCTTGGCACCTCTCCTTTCCCTTATGATAGGATGCAAGGTTTTTTGTACTAATGAATGGTGGGTGGAAGGGTTATTGTATCCCTATGCAAACATTAGCATTATAATATCAAATTTTGTATCTGTAGTGTTTTTGAATCAGCAATTCCTTGAATAACATGTAAGGTATGTTTAAACACATTCAAACATCATTATTGTCTTTTTTCCTTCAAAAAAAAATTTTGGAGGAGGTATTTATATGGGATTTTAAAAATAGGTCATCATTTTTTATAATAGTTATTATTTTTGCTTATACATATTATACTATACATATCAGTCACATATTTTTTTTTATATACAGTTTAATGCTTTTAGAGTGAAAGAAATTAGTCAGGTTCCTTGTTTCTTCTGCCACTTTTTTTTTTTGTAGTGTTTGTTATCCTTCATAATAATAGACAAGCAACCATGCACATTATCATGTGTGCTTCAGCTTACTGTTCTTTGAGTATAGTCAACCCCTCAAATACTTAAACTAATTCACTCTTTCTTGAGCATGACCAACTCGGTAACTTTCGCATGAATACAGCCTCTCCTCACCTAGCGACTACTTGTTTACCGACGCCTCGGACTTATGATGGGCTCTCTGACCAGTATTCATACCTAAATAATGTATATTAGAGCTAATTTCCTCTATTCTATTTATTTCAGTATACAGTACACTGCTGTATAAACATTTAAAAATATACCAGAAATATTATAAATGATGCAAAGGTGACATTAAAACAATATCAAAGATGGTTGACAGAACTCCGTCGTTAAGTGAATAGAGGCTGTACAGTGGAGCCTAGGTTTTCATCATTAATTCGTTGCAGAAAGCCTGACGAAAACCGAATTCGATGAAAACTGAAGCAATATTTCCCATAAGAAATAATATAAATAGAATTAATCTGTTCCAGACACCCAAAAGTATTAACAAAAAATATATTTTATAGAGAAAACGATGAGAAATAAATATAAAGGACTAATGAAATGGATCAATGAACATTTAATATCACTTTTACCTTTATTGAAGACTCTTGTTGGCATATGGAAGATGCGAGAAGGGGAGAGGGAGGAGGAGAGGTTATTGGTTGGAAGGGAAATCCCTCTCCATAAGGACTTAGGTATCAAGTCCCTATCCAGGGTTACTTCTTTTCTTTGTCTTTTACTGGCACTGGACCCCTGTTGTGCAAAAAATCTGTTCAGAGAGGTCTGTTTCTGGCATCTCTTTAAGATTTGCCTAACATGGGACAGGGCATTGTCATTGAACATGTTGCAGGGTGATATTTCTCCACAAAACTTTGCAACTCACTCATGTTTGCACACACGTCCTTAATCACTGAAGAAGGCACATTATCGCCTCTCTCTTCCTCCTCCTCCTCCTCCTCCTCCTCCTCCTCTGAAGCAATTTCCTGGCTGCATTCTGTTGCTGTTCAAGTTGAAGGTGTTGCAGTTCTTCAGTGGTTAGCTCTTCCCTGTGGTCGTCCACCAACTCTTCCACATCCTGGCCACTCCCATCCAACCTCTTGGACTTCCCCTAACCCACAATAGATTCCACAACAGGCATAGGGCTATCAGGGTCAGCCTCAAACCCTTCAAAATCCTTCTCTTGGACATATTCTGGCCACAATTGAATTCTATCGTGTTTCTAGCCTTTTTATCAAAGGGCTGGCACTCGGAACTTTCTTTGGCCCCATGGTGGCTTATTTAGCAGTCATAATCAGTAAACAAGCACAAAAAGCAATGGGTTATTACGAAATGTTTCGGATGAACATGCAGGGTAATGCCCACTCGATGAGAAACAGAGCAAGACCGACTCAGAACGCGTGGGATGCTTTGTGTAGGCGCGGTCAGGCGGACATGTTCGGTACAGTGGACTGACAAAAACTAAGGTGATGAACAATAACTGGGACAAAATTTTGACAAAAAAAAGTCGTCGAAAACCGAATTCAACGAAAACCAGGGCAAACAGAAACTGAGGTTCCACTGTATTTTGAACAACAATTTTTTTTATTTACACAAACCTTATTCACAAATGTTTGGAAAGTTTTTACCACAGTATAATGCTGAACTCTAAGGATAAGTTATGCAGTATTAATATAATAATAAGAATAAAAATGATCGTGTAGGTTACACAGTTGCCATTGTTTTGTAAGATAAAATTAGTCTAATAATAAGTTACACATAATTAACACATGAAAATAAGATTAATACAGCCACAGTATATATTGCTTTTTATATTTTAAAACAAATATGTTTAAAAGTTACACACAATTGAACTAATAAATCATCAGTAGTGCACATTGGGTTTAATATCATATTGAATTTGAGGAATGCTATGTTTGATTTTAACCTTTGCAGGGTCAGGACCCCTGATCTGAGAATTGCTCTCAGGTCGAAGAATTTAAAAAAATATATATATATATTTTTTTCTTAGGAAATGATAATCGTTTTCTGAAAGGTAATGAAACCAAAAGTATGGAATTTGATGGAAAGCTTATGGAATTACACTCTTGCATATTTAGTGGTCTCGGTGATATTTACACATTGGCGATTTCACCCACTTTGAGTCCTATTTAGGCCAATTCCATTGCCCAGTTGACCAAACTCAGCTATTTTGCTAGTATTCTTTCTATTCTATCAACTGAGTACAGGAAACCACCCATTCAACTACCCAATAAAGTGATCAGAAATCAGTTATTTGGGAATTTCACACATTCTCGGCACTAAAAAACATTTCCCCTGTTACGGTGGCCTGTGGCCTGGTGGCAAAAGCTCTCACTTCACATGGTGAGGATCCAGGTTCGATTCCTATCAAAGGGTGGAAATACTGGCCATGTTTCCTTACGCCAGTTGTCCGTATTCATCCATCAGTAAAATGGGTATCTGGGTGTTAGTCAACTGGTGTGGGTCACATCCTGGGACAAAATTTACCTAATTTGCCTGAAATGCTCTACATAACAAGCAGCTTTCTACACAGTAGTATGTCATTGATGTCAGCTAGACCTGTATACAGTGGACCCCCGCATAACGATCAGCTCCCAACTTGACCAATTATGTAAGTGTATTTTTGTAAGTGCTTTTGTAGGTGTATTTTTCGGGGTCTGAAACGGACTAATCTAATTCACAATATCTCTTATGGGAACAAATTCGGTCTATAACGGCACCCAAACAGACTTCTGGGTTGAAATAATATCGTTATGCGGGGTTCCACTGTACCTTGTACATGTAGAAATAAAGATATTATTATGTACCCAGGCCTCTCCAATATTATGCTTGGTTTCCATTTTTTATTTTTTTTACAAAAAATAGAAGACTTACTGTTAGGCAGACTACTGCATTTTTGTAATAATTGTATGAATAATGTTGGTGCATTTGTGAATGAATATTAGACTGACCAGTTTGACACATTGAACAAATGATGTTATTTGTGTACTCTGGAACATCAGCAAAATTCGAACATTTCCACAACTTTGAGCTCAATTTCAGGCTACTTTGTCATGAAACTAATCAAAATCATCTCCATGTAGAACATAAGAACATAAGAAAGAAGGAACACTGCAGCAAGGCAGGTCCAATTCTCCTACTGGCTTAAGCCAGTGCCTTAACCTAGTCAGGTCAATCATGTTCACTTAAGAAAGGAGCATAGCATCTACCCTAGTAGCACAAGCTAGTCAGGTCTAACTCACACTCACTCATGTACTTATCTAACCTATTTTTAAAACTACACAATGTTTTAGCTTCTGTGACGGTACTCAAGAGTTTGTTCCAAAGTCACTGTTTTAAACCAAAAACACGGTCACAGCATTTTTTCCTGTCATGCACTGCTTGGGGCAGGATTTTTTATTATATGGTGCACATTTACCATATAGACCTATTCTCTCATATCTTGGCCCAAATTTACCACTCACAGCTTATCCGAGTGAACTGAGCTTATCACGTAGTTCTGCACAGACTTAGAGTTCAAACCTGTAGTACTCCTCGGTGGGAGACGGCCGACGGCCGACTTGTTAAAAAAAATATATATGTGTGTGTGTGTGTGTATATATATATATATATATTATATATATATATATATATATATATACAGTGGTCCCTCGATTATCGACGGTAATCCGTTCCTGGAAGCCGGTCGATTATCGAAATGGTCGATTTATGAATCAATTTTCCCCATAAGAAATAATGTAAATTCAATTAATCCGTTCCTGACACCCAGAAGTATTAAAACAAAAAAAATTTTTACATGAAATATTCATGTAGTACATAAACAATACAATGGGAAATGATGAATGAAACATTAACAGCATAACACTTACCTTTATTGGAGATTCTTCTTAGTGTATGGGAGACTGGAGGAGGAGGAGGAGAGAGTGGATTGTTTATAGTTTGGAAGGGGAATCCCCTTCCAGCAACACCTCAGGTACCATTTGCTTTTCTGGGGTTGCTTCTTTTCTCTGTTTCTTAATGCCACTAGGACCAGCTTGAGAGTCACTGGAGTCCTGTCTCGCAAAATAACTGTGCAGAGAGCTCTGTTTCTGGCGTCTCTTTAAAACTTCCCTAAAATGGGCCAAGACTCTGTCACTGTACAAGTTGCCGATATGGTTTCCAACATCCTTCTCTGGGTGATGTTTCTCCATAAATCTTTCCATCTTACCCCACATAGTAAAAATCTCCTTAATTTCTGAAGAAGGCACCTTCTTCCATCTCTCTTCCTCCTCCTCTGCAGCAAGATTCTGAGCTGCGATCTGTTGCTCTTCCTGCTGAAGCTCTTGCAGCTCCTCAGTGGTTAGCTCTTCGTTGTGGTCCTCCACCAACTCTTCCACATCCTCCAAACTCACATCCAACCCCATGGAACTCCCCAGTGCCACAATAGAGTTCAAAACTGACATAGGCTCATCAGGGTCAGCCCCAAACCCTTCCAAATCCCTCTTGTCGACACAATCTGGCCACAATTTTCTCCAAGCAGAGTTCAAAGTCCTGGTAGACACTCCCTCCCAAGCCTTACCTATAAGGCTTACACAATGGAAAATACTGAAATGTTCTTTCCAAAAATCTCGTAGGGTCAAGTGAGTGTCTGAGGTCATATTGAAGCACCTTTCAAACATTGCTTTGGTGTACAGTTTTTTAAAGTTTGCAATGACCTGCTGGTCCATGGGTTGGAGGAGAGGAGTGGTTTCGGGGGCAAGAACTTTACTGAGATGAACCCAAACTCCTTCAGAATTAGGTCATCCAAGTTTGGTGGATGAGCAGGTGCATTGTCCATTACTAGCAGGCACTTGAGATCCAATTTCTTCTCCAGGAGGTAATTCTTCACACTAGGGCCAAACACTTCGTTGAACCACTCTACAAAAATTTCCCTCATGACCCATGCCTTATTATTAGATTTCCAAAACACACAATTTACTCTTCATAACATTATTTTTCTTAAATGCTCTGGGATTTTCAGAATGGTACACTAGTAACGGCTTCACTTTGAAATCCCCACTAGCATTAGCACAGAACATTAGCGTCAGCCTGTCTTTCATAGGCTTGTGTCCTGGCATTGACTTTTCCTCTTGTGTAATGAAGGTCCTCTTTTGGGATTTTCTTCCAGAAGAGGCCTGTTTCGTCACAATTGAACACTTGTTCAGGTTTCAGTCCTTCAGCCTCTATGTACTCCTGGAATTCATGCACATATTTTTCAGCCGCCTTGTGGTCCGAACTGGCAGCCTCACCATGCCTTACCCACACTGTGTATGCCAGTACGCTTCTTAAATCTCTCAAACCAGCCTTTGCTGGCCTTAAAGTCACTCACTTCACCACTATTTGCAGGCAATTTATTTACCAAATCTTCATGCAACTGCCTAGCCTTTTCACAAATAATCGAGGTCATAAGACTGTCTCCTGCTAATTGTTTCCATTTATCCACACCAATAATAACTTCTCAACCTCTTCCAGTACTGGTGATCTCATTTTTGTCAGCATATTTACCCCCTTTGCAACAACAGCGTCCTTGATTTCCTTTCTCATGGCTATGATGGAAGATATGGTTGAATGATTTTTGTTATACATCCTCGCCAGTTCGCCAACACGTACGCCACTATCATATTGTTCAATGATGTTTTTCTTAAATTCAATGGTATTTCTCACCTTCTTTACCAAAGGTTTGGCACTAGGAGCTTTCTTTGGAGCCATGGTAGCTTATTTAGCACTTAAATAACTTGCAAGCACTAAAATAAATGAAATATGAAATATTTCACTGGAGCACGTGAGAGGACCGCCGCTAACTGGTAAACAATGGCACACTGGCTGGGAAGGAAGGCTGAGGCGGGTCGAGGCCCGCTTACCTCGTGCATACGCGTCTCGGGTCGGACGGGTCGATAAACGAATTTCGGTCAATTTCCGAGTCAATATTTTGTCGAAAAAAAACCGGTTGATTTCCGAATGGTCGACTTTCAGGCCGGTCGATTATTGAGGGACCACTGTATATATATATATATATATATATAATATATATATATCAATAAATATATTAATTATTATAAGTGGATCCCCCGCTTAACGATCACCTCCAAATGCGACCAATTATGTAAGTGTATTTATGTAAGTGCGTTTGTACGTGTATGTTTGGGTGTCTGAAATGGACTAATCTACTTCACAATATTCCTTATGGGAACAATTCGGTCAGTACTGGCACCTTAACATACTACTGGAATGAAAAAAGTTCGTTAACCGGGGGTCCACTGTATATAAATGTATGAAAGAGGGGAAGGTACGTAGGGATTGGCGGAGAGCATGTATAGTCCCTTTATATAAAGGGAAAGGGGACAAAAGAGACTGTAAAAATTATAGAGGAATAAGTTTACTGAGTATACCAGGAAAAGTGTACGGTAGGGTTATAATTGAAAGAATTAGAGGTAAGACAGAATGTAGGATTGCGGATGAACAAGGAGGTTTCAGAGTGGGTAGGGGATGTGTAGATCAAGTGTTTACATTGAAGCATATATGTGAACAGTATTTAGATAAAGGTAGGGAAGTTTTTATTGCATTTATGGATTTAGAAAAGGCATATGATAGAATGGATAGAGGAGCAATGTGGCAGATGTTGCAAGTATATGGAATAGGTGGTAAGTTATTAAATGCTGTAAAGAGTTTTTATGAGGATAGTGAGGCTCAGGTTAGGGTGTGTAGAAGAGAGGGAGACTACTTCTCGGTAAAAGTAGGTCTTAGACAGGGATGTGTAATGTCACCATGGTTGTTTAATATATTTATAGATGGGGTTGTAAAGGAAGTAAATGCTAGGGTGTTCAGGAGAGGGGTGGGATTAAATTTTGGGGAATCAAATTCAAAATGGGAATTGACACAGTTACATTTTGCTGATGATACTGTGCTTATGGGAGATTCTAAAGAAAAATTGCAAAGGCTAGTGGATGAGTTTGGGAATGTGTGTAAAGGTAGAAAGTTGAAAGTGAACATAGAAAAGAGTAAGGTGATGAGGGTGTCAAATGATTTAGATAAAGAAAAATTGGATCTCAAATTGGGGAGGAGGAGTATGGAAGAAGTGAATGTATTCAGATACTTGGGAGTTGACGTGTTGGAGGATGGATTTATGAAGGATGAGGTTAATCATAGAATTGATGAGGGAAAAAAGGTGAGTGGTGCGTTGAGGTATATGTGGAGTCAAAACACGTTATCTATGGAGGCAAAGAAGGGAATGTATGAAAGTATAGTAGTACCAACACTCTTATATGGGTGTGAAGCTTGGGTGGTAAATGCAGCAGCGAGGAGACGGTTGGAGGCAGTGGAGATGTCCTGTTTAAGGGCAATGTGTGGTGTAAATATTATGCAGAAAATTCGGAGTGTGGAAATTAGGAGGTGTGGAATTAATAAAAGCATTAGTCAGAGGGCAGAAGAGGGGTTGTTGAGGTGGTATGGTCATTTAGAGAGAATGGATCAAAGTAGAATGACATGGAAAGCATATAAATTTATAGGGGAAGGAAGGAGGGGTAGGGGTCGTCCTCGAAAGGGTTGGAAAGAGGGGGTAAAGGAGGTTTTGTGGGCTAGGGGCTTGGACTTCCAGCAAGCGTGCATGAGCGTATTAGATAGGAGTGAATGGAGGCGAATGATACTTGGGACCTGACGATCTGTTGGAGTGTGAGCAGGGTAATATTTAGTGAAGGGATTCAGGGAAACCGGTTATTTTCATATAGTCTGACTTGAGTCCTGGAAATGGGAAGTACAATGCCTGCACTTTAAAGGAGGGGTTTGGGATATTGGCAGTTTGGAGGGATATGTTGTGTATCTTTATACGTATATGCTTCTGAACTGTTGTATTCTGAGCACCTCTGCAAAAGCAGTGATAATGTGTGAGTGTGGTGAAAGTGTTGAATGATGATGAAAGTATTTTCTTTTTGGGGATTTTCTTTCTTTTTTGGGTCACCCTGCCTCGGTGGGAGACGGCTGACTTGTTGAAAAAAAAAAAAATACATACACATACATGCATACATACATACATACAATATTTTTTTAGCACGTTGGCCATCTCCCACCAAGGCAGGGTGACTCAAAAAGAAAGAAACACTTTTACCATCATTTAGCAGAAATATTAGATTTTTCCAATTTTCTTGAGGATGGGTAAAGCCTCCTACACCCCCAGTGTGTTTTATGGGTTTTTAATAGGTCTGATTTAATTATTGGGACACTGTAAATCATGTCAATCATTCCTTTTATTTTATGTGATTATGAATTCAAAATGTAAATTAGTTTAATATAGGAGAGGACTGGAGATGTGATTAATGAACAGTGGAAATGTTTTAGTACCAGGAATATTTTCATTGTTTATTTTGGATTCTATTTTTAAATTGGTATCTTTTTTAATTTTGTGTGAAATTGGCCAAATTACAAACTTCTGTGAAATTTATAGGATAGGTGAAATAGATGAATGTGCAATTTCTTGTGTTCATTTGATAAAATGGGAGGCATACTAGGGAAATAGCTAAGAATTCTGTCAATTGGAGAAATGAAATTGACTTAATATAGGACTCAGTTGGGGAAATCGCTGTTGCTTAAATTGCACGAAAAACACTAACTTTGTGGCTGTGTGATTCTGTAAGGTTTCCATCAAATTTCATATTGTTTGATGTCTTTACCTTCAGAAAAGATTCTCTACCATTTCAGAAGTTTTTGGAAAACATGGAAACCGTATTTTATGGCATCAAAGAAACTATTTCTTTTTTTTTTTTCTTTCCAAAAAGGTCTCAAAAATTTACTCGGCTTCTTGTAAGTCGAAAGTAAACTGCATTGCTTTATAGGCCTCAACCTAAGCTTTTGTATATGACCCAGTAATGAATCATATAAACTATTTTGTAAAAAAATAATTGTAAAATGTCA